CTTACAGAGGAAAGATTCTTTTCCACATCCCCATGAACAATAGAAGAAATAAAGAACAAGAGCTATTAAGAAAAAGGGGGAAAACCTACATATATGTACAGTGGACTCCCGACCTACGATGTCCCCAACCTGTGTTGAAACCGACCTATGATGCTTTTCAGCATAAAAATTTGACCACGACATACGTTGAAAAACTTGACTTACAGCATTCATCCTCAACCTGTCCATCTGGTCTGTCTGGCCAGAGCGCCTCAGCTGAGCTTGTGTGACATTGTTTACAAGCCAGGGCGGACGGTTTCATGCATACATTCGATAAATTTTGTACTATTCCAGTGTTTTTAGTGCTTTTAACTGCTAAATAGGCCACCATGGGCCCAAAGAAAGCTTCTAGTGCCAACCCAGTGGTAAAAAGGGTGAGAAATACTATTGAAATGCTATCGTACCACGGTCAGCTGCTGCTGGTGTACTGTTGTCAGCTGCTGCTGGTGTACTGTTGTCAGCTGCTGCTGCTGCTGTACTGTGGTTAGCTGCTGCTGCTGTACGACAGTCAGCTGCTGCTGCTGTGCTGTGGTCACCTGCTGCTGCTGCTGTACCACAGTCAGCTGCTGTTGTTGCTGTACCAGTCAGCTGCTGCTGCACCATGGTCAGCTGCTGCTGCTGATGTACCATGGTCAGCTGCTGCTGCTGCTGTACCACAGTCAGCTGCTGCTGTACCACAGTCAGCTGCTGCTGCTGCTGCTGCACCACAGTCAGCTGCTGCTGCTGCACCACAGTCTGCTGCTGCTGCTGCTGCACCACAGTCTGCTGCTGCTGCTGCTGCTGTACCACAGTCAGCTGCTGCTGCTGATGCACCATGGTCAGCTGCTGCTGCTGCTGTACCATGGTCAGCTGCTGCTGCTGTACCACAGTCAGCTGCTGCTGCTGCTGCACCACGGTCAGCTGCTGCTGCTGCACCATGGTCAGCTGCTGTTGCACCACAGTCAGCTGCTGCTGCTGTACTGTGGTTACCTGCTGCTGCTGCTGCTGCTGTACCACAGTCAACTGCTGCTGTTGCTGTACCAGTCAGCTGCTGCTGCTGCTGCACCATGGTCTGCTGCTGCTGATGTACCATGGTCAGCTGCTGCTGCTGCTCTACCACAGTCAGCTGCTGCTGCTGCACCATGGTCAGCTGCTGTTGCACCACTGTCAGCTGTACTACTCGAAGATGTGGAGAGACTGTTAGTGGTGTGGCTTATCAAGAGTACTGAGAAACAATTAACCCCAGAGGGTTAACCACCCAGGATAACCCAAGAAAGTCAGTGTGTCATTAAGGACTGTCTAACTAATTTCCATTGGGGTCCTTAATCTTGTCCCCCAGTCCCACAACAGTTGACTAACACCCAGGTGAACAGGAAAAAATGCCTGGAACTAGTGCTCATATTGGTGAATTTAAGGCCAGCAAAGGTTGGTTTGAGAGATTTAAGAATCATAGTGGCATACACAGTGTGATAAGGCCTGTTCTGGAAGAAAATGCCAACCAGGACCTACATTACTCAGGAGGAAAAGGCACTCCCAGGACACACAGTGTCTCATCACTACATCTTCAATAAAGGTAAGTGTCATGTATTCTTCATTTAGTAGAGTAGTACATGCACAATATATATTGTGTATGTACTACTCTACTACTGTGTGTGTATCCTTCTTTTTGTGTGTTGCAAAATCTGTATTTATGTGGTAATTTTTGTTTTTTCATACTTTTGGGTGTCTTGAACAGATTAATTTGGTTTCCATTATTTCTTATGGGGAAAATTGATTCAACCTAGGATCATTTTGTCTTACGATGGGCTCTCAGGAACAGATTAATATCTTAAGTCGGGGGTCCACTTATATATATATGTATATGTATATGTCGTGCCGAATATGTAAAACTGGTCAATTAGCAAGAACTCATTTAAAATTAAGTCCTTTCTAAAATTTTCTCTTATACGTTTAAAGATATATTTTTTTCATAAATGTTGATGTATAAATTTATAATTTTGCACCAAAAGGAACTTAGAAAACTTACCTAACCTTATTATAACAAAAACAATTTATTTTAGCCTAACTCAACTAAATATATTTTAGATTTGTTTACAATAATTTAATACTAAACAAACACAATCAAATATATTTTTTTCGTTAGGTTCAGAATGATTTTGGCGAAATTATTGCATACACAAATTTTCATTTGTCCTATATGGCAAGATGAGCATTGCTATTTAAGCCAAGATCGCAAGTTCTCCCTATTCAGCATGACATATGTTTATATATACAGTGGACCCCCGGTTAACGATATTTTTTCACTCCAGAAGTATGTTCAGGTGCCAGTACTGACCGAATTTGTTCCCATAAGGAATATTGTGAAGTAGATTAGTCCATTTCAGACCCCCAAACATACACGTACAAACGCACTTACATAAATACACTTACATAATTGGTCGCATTCGGAGGTGATCGTTATGCGGGGGTCCCACTGTATATATTATATATATTATTATATATATATATATATATATATATATATATATATATATATATATATATATATATACATGCATGTGCATGCCTGTGAAGTGTGACCTAAGTGTTTACCTGGAGACCTGGAGAGAGTTCCGGGGGTCAACGCCCCCTCGGCCCGGTTTGTGACCGGGCTGCGGGAAAAGACAACAGCAATCCTACCATCATGTAAAACAGGTACAGGTTTCTGTTTCACAGTCATCTGGCAGAACGGTAGTACCTCCCTGGGTGGTTGCTGTCTACCAACCTACTTGGACATGTAGAGAGAATGGAACGAAACAGAATGACTTCAAGTGTGTATCACTCTGTAGTGGAAGGAAGGCGGGGTAGAAGTCGGCCTAGGAAAGGTTGGAGGGAGGGGATAAAGGAGGTTTCGTTTGCGAGGGGCTTGGACTTCCAGCAAGCATGTGTGAGCATATTTGATAAGAGTGAATGGAGACAAATGGGTTTTAATACTTGACATGCTGTTGGAGTGTGAGCAAAGTAACATTTATGAAGGGATTCAGGGAAACCAGCAGGCCGGACTTGAGACCTGGAGATGGTAAGTACAGTGCCTGCACTCTGAAGGAAGGGTGTTAATGTTGCAGTTTTATAAACTGTAGTGTAAAGCACCCCTCTGGCAAGACAGTGATGAAGTGAATGATGGTGAAAGTTTTTTTTTCAGGCCACTCTGCCTTGGTGAGAATCGGATAGTTTGTTAATAAATAAAAAAATAACGCCTTTAGCAACATCAGCTTCCTTTATTTGTTCGTTCTTTGCCAGGATAGAAGCGATGCTCGACTTGTTTTTCCCATACATCCTGGCAAGCTCAACAAGTTTCACACCACTCTAATACTTCTGTATTATTTCCTTCTTCACATCTATGGTGTTTCTCACTTTCTTTACCACGGGGTACCACTAGCGAGTTTCTTTGGGCCCATGGTAACTTATTTCACAGTCCCTCAAGCACTGAACACAATGAATTAATCGTAAAATGTTTGAATGAGAGCACAGGTTAGTGTTCACTCAAGCATCAACAAAGCCACACTGGCTCATGGTGCCTGCTCGGGGACATGGACAGTGGGCTGGTGGACAGGTCCGGTACCCGGCAGTTCAAAAATAGGGGCGAGTTCAGTAATAGGGACAAAGTTGGTGCGAAAAAAGCTATTGATTTTTGAAGTATTCGAAATTTGAGGTTCCACTGTATTTAGAGTATTGTGTTGCAGTGCAAAGACAGCCAATGTCATGCCTAGGCATTATGGGCAGACTTAATTTAATGGCTTACAGACTTTTTAATGCTTAAGAAATTTATCATAGTTTAAGTTGTACAATAGTTTCAATAGTACAATTATTATAATTATACAATTGTATGACTAAGAAAAAACTTTTGTTTTTTGTGTGAATAAAAATTTGAAATGAAAAGCAAGCATAATATAAGAAGTTCCTGGAGAGATGACTAATGAACAGAGAAATTGTTATTTTAGTGTCAGGAATGTCTTCATTATTTATTCTGAACCCTATTTGGAAAATGGTCTTTCTTGAATTTTGTGTGAAATTGGAAAAATTAGTATTATCTGATCAATTTACTGAGTAGTTGAAATAGGTAAATGGGCAGCTTCTTGTACTCAATCGATAGAATGAAAGGAGTTCTAACATCATAACTATGAGTTTGGTTGACTGGAACACTGGAATTGGCCCAAATTATGGCTGAAAAGAGGCAAAATCACTGATAAGTAAATATAGCATGACTACTAAATTTGTGAGAGCGTAATTCCAAAAGTTTTCCATCAAATTTTTGTGCTTTTCGGTCACAACCTTTCCTAGCCGTACCTTTTGCACACTCCTACAACACATTAGTCTCTGACCTTTGTATATTCCTTCTTTAGCACAGTTCATGCTGCAGTGGTCTATGACCTTTTCAGGTTTAGCACCTTGATTATATTACTGCTTCTCCTCACTCAACAACAGAGTTCCGTTCCTAAGACCATGTTGGTATACAAATTTATCGCTAAGTGAGGAGCATAATATAATGATAGTGGGTTTGTGTCAACCATGTTTGACATTGTTTTAATGTCATCTTTGCTCCATTTATTACATTTCTGGTATATTTTTAAATGTTTATATAATAGTGTGCTGTATATTGTAATAAACAGAATACAGGAAATCAGCTCTAATATACATTATTTAGGTATGCATACTGGTCAGAGAGCCCATCTTAAGTCTGAGGTGTTGGTAAACGAGTACGTCACTAAGTGAGGAAATGCTGTATTAATATTATTATACTCCAAAAATATAATAAAAATTAAAGATGTTTGTGTTGAAGTCATATTGTTTACTCAGTTATTAGTTAACATAATTATTATACAGAACTTGTGATTTATCTTGAAGATCTTTACGGATAAACATTTAAGTGACAATAGAGAGAAAAATCTTTTTAGTTGAGTATGTTGTGTTGGTAATTGTGGAATATTGTGCTGTACTGACTCAAGTTTCTATTGCAGACGTATTTTGTGGAAGACTACCAGGTTGTGTCTTGCCATACACTATATCTTCAGTACTTCAAGAAGCACCAGTGTAAGTGTCTTGAACAACAACTGATATTGCAGAAGTATTTTGTGGAAGACTACCAGGTTGTCTTGCCAGACACTATATCTTCAGTACTTCAAGAACCACCAGTGTAAGTGTCTTGAACAACAACTGATATTGCAGAAGTATTTTGTGGAAGACTACCAGGTTGTGTCTTGCCAGACACTATATCTTCAGTACTTCAAGAACCACCAGTGTAAGTGTCTTGAACAACAACTGATATTGCAGAAGTATTTTGTGGAAGACTACCAGGTTGTGTCTTGCCAGACACTATATCTTCAGTACTTCAAGAAAGGCAACAGATGTTCTTCTTGTGAATTTTTAACTAGTTATTACTAATTAAACGATTTTGCTTTTGATATTGGGAATTCTAAAAATGCATGGCAGTTAATTCTTTGAGGGTTCATTTTGTAGTTCTATGACTTTTAAGCTGGGGTCCGAGCTGTAGTACTGCAACATGAGCTCAGCTTACTCAGATAAGCTGTGAGCAGTAAATTTGGGCCTAAATATGAGAGAATGAATCTCTGTGGTAAGTGTGCACCATATAAAACAAAGCCTGCAGCAGGCAGTGCATAATGAGAAAAAAAAGTGCAACTGTGTTTTTGGATTAAAAGAGCAAATTTATGGTGTATTTTCATGTGTTTTATATAGTAGCATTCACTGTTTCTTGGTCTCATTTGACAGAATAGAAGATGTATTACAGAAATGACTTTGATGGATTTTAGTGCAGAAAATAACTTGAAATTGAGTTCAGAGTAGTAGAAATGTTCTATTTTTGCTGATATTAGAGGGTAAACAATCACATTATGTGTCCAATACACATCAGCTGGTGGGTTTAATGTGTGCTGCTGAATGCACTGATATTATTTATACAATTATTACAATATTGAATAACAGTAACTTTTCTATTTTGTAGTGTGCATAAAAATAATTTGTGAATAAAAAATCAAAATGAAATTCATCTGTAAAGCCTACAAATGTAACTAATATGTACTAGATATGTAGTGTTTAATGCCAGGTTGCCTGTACTGATTATTCTGGACCCTATTTTGAAATTGGAATATTTTGAATTTTGTGTGAAATTGGCCATATTTCCAATACCAGGTTGACTGCATTGATAATTCTGGACCCTATTTTGAAATTGGAATATTTTGAATTTTCTGTGAAATTGGCCATATTACCAATACCAGGTTGCTTGTTTTGATTATCCTGGACCTTATTTTGAAATTGGAATATTTTGAATTTTGTGTGAAATTGGCCATATTTCCAATTTCCAATCACTTTATTGGGAAGTTGAAATAGTTGAATTGGGCAATTTTATGCGCTTAATAGATAATATGGATCAAATACTAGTGAAATAGCTAAGAATTTGGTCTAATGGAACTACATAATTGGCCAAAAACATAACTCGAACTGGGCAAAATTGCCAGTGCATAAATATTTCTGACACAGCGAAATTTGCAGGAGTATAACTTCATCAATTCTTTATAAAATTATGTACTTTTTATTTTATTACATTATTAATACATTCTCTATGATTTCCTAAGACCCTGTGGGGAATTTTCAGACCGGGGTTCTGAACCCTCAAAGGGTCAATAAAAGAATACAGAAAAATTGTTTAAACACAAGGCAAATAATAATAATAATAATAATAATATTGTTGAGTGTCTCTGCAGTGTTCTAGTACATACATTAATGTTTTAACACAAAACAAAAATTATGATAGTGTTTTAACAAACAATATGAACTTTATTAATGCTCATAAGTAGGAAAAGTTTTGTCTAAATAAATCTTAACATGGGAATATGTTCATAAGGAAAACCATGTGTTCAGTGTCCAAAATTGTTAAAAATCATGAAATAGACCTGTGTGTACATAAGGAAGATTAACTATACCACTGTTGTATGACTAAAATATTTTAAATGAAATACCTTCATTTAAAAAATATGGAAAAACATAAAAAACATAAACCATATGAATGTTCTGAGTGTCTGAAATGTTTTAGTCAAAAAAGCCATCTTGTGATACACATGAGAGAACATACAGGAGATAAACCATACCAATGTTCTGAGTGTCTGAAATGTTTTAGTCAAAAAAACCATCTTGTGAGACATATGAGAGTTCATACAGGAGATAAACCATATCAGTGTTCTGAGTGTCTGAAATGTTTTAGTGAAAAAAGCAGTCTTGTGAAACATATGAGAGTGCATACAGGAGATAAACCATATCAATGTTCTGTGTGTCTGAAATGTTTTGGTCAAAAAAACCATCTTGTGAGACATATGAGAGTTCATACAGGAGATAAACCATATCAATGTTCTGAGTGTTTGAAATGTTTTAGTCAAAAAAACCATCTTGTGAAACATATGAGAGTTCATACAGGAGATAAACCATATCAGTGTTCTGAGTGTCTGAAATGTTTTAGTGAAAAAAGCAGTCTTGTGACACATATGAGAGTACATACAGGAGATAAACCATACCAATGTTCTGAGTGTCTTAAGTGTTTTAGTGTAAAAAGCCATCTTGTGACACACATGAGAGAACATACAGGAGATAAACCATACCAATGTTCTGAGTGTCTTAAGTGTTTTAGTGAAAAAAGCAGTCTTGTGACACATATGAGAGTACATACAGGAGATAAACCATACCAATGTTCTGAGTGTCTTAAGTGTTTTAGTGTAAAAAGCAGTCTTGTGACACATATGAGAGTACATACAGGAGATAAACCATACCAATGTTCTGAGTGTCTTAAGTGTTTTAGTGTAAAAAGCAATCTTGTGACACATATGAGAGTGCATACAGGAGATAAACCATATCAATGTGCAGAGTGTTTGAAATGTTTTAGTCAAAAAAGTAATCTTGAGACACATATGAGAGTACATACAGGAGATAAACCATATCAATGTTCTGAGTGTCTGAAATGTTTTAATGTGAAAAGAAGTCTTGTGACACACATGAGAGTTCACCTGGAATTTACCTGGAGAGAGTTCCGGGGTTCAACGCCCCCGCGGCCCAGTCTGTGACCAGGCCTCCTGGTGGATCAGAACCTGATCAACCAGGCTGTTACTGCTGGCTGTACGCAATCCAACATACAAGCCACAGCCTGGCTGGTCACATACTGACTTTAGGTGCTTGTCCAGTGCCTGCTTGAAGACAGCCAGGGGTCTATTAGTAATCCCCCTTATGTATGCTGGGAGGCAGTTGAACAGTCTTGGGCCCCTGACACTTATTGTATGGTCTCTTTACGTGCTAGTGACACCCCTGCATTTCATTGGGGGTATGTTGCATCATCTGCTGAGTCTTTTGCTTTCGTTGTGAGTGATTTTCATGTGCAAGTTCGGTACTAGTCCTCTAGGATTTTCCAGGTGTATATAATTATGTATCTCTACCGCCTGCATTCCAGGGAGTACAGGTTCAGGAACTTCAAGCACTCCCAGTAATTGAGGTGTTTTATCTCCATTATGTGCACCATGAAGGTTCTCTGTACATTTTCTAGGTCAGCAATTTCACCTGCCTTGAAAGGTGCTGTTAGTGTGCAGCAATATTCCTGCCTAGATAGAACAAGCAACCTGATGAGTGTCATCATGGGCTTGGCATCCCTAGTTTTGAAGGTTCTCATTATCCATCCTGTAATTTTCCTAGCAGATGCGATTGATACAATGTTAAGGTCCTTGAAGATGAGATCCTCCGACATGATCACTCCTAGGTCTTTGACGTTAGTTTTTCACTCTATTTTGTAGTCGGAATTTGTTTTGTTTTCTTATGAAGTTTTAGAGGGGCCACAGATATATCAGATCACTTTCTAGTTGTAGCTACACTGAGAGTAAAAGGTAGATGGGATACAAGGAGAATAGAAGCATCAGGGAAGAGAGAGGTGAAGGTTTATAAACTAAAAGAGGAGGCAGTTAGGGTAAGATATAAACAGCTATTGGAGGATAGATGGGCTAATGAGAGCATAGGCAATGGGGTCGAAGAGGTATGGGGTAGGTTTAAAAATGTAGTGTTAGAGTGTTCAGCAGAAGTTTGTGGTTACAGGAAAGTGGGTGCAGGAGGGAAGAGGAGCGATTGGTGGAATGATGATGTAAAGAGAGTAGTAAGGGAGAAAAAGTTTGCATATGAGAAGTTTTTACAAAGTAGAAGTGATGCAAGGAGGGAAGAGTATATGGAGAAAAAGAGGTTAAGAGAGTGGTGAAGCAATGTAAAAAGAGAGCAAATGAGAGAGTGGGTGAGATGTTATCAACAAATTTTGTTGAAAATAAGAAAAAGTTTTGGAGTGAGATTAACAAGTTAAGAAAGCCTAGAGAACAAATGGATTTGTCAGTTAAAAATAGGAGAGGAGTGTTATTAAATGGAGAGTTAGAGGTATGGGGAAGATGGAGGGAATATTTTGAGGAATTGTTAAATGTTGATGAAGATAGGGAAGCTGTGATTTCGTGTATAGGGCAAGGAGGAATAATATCTTGTAGGAGTGAGGAAGAGCCAGTTGTGAGTGTGGGGGAAGTTCGTGAGGCAGTAGGTAAAATGAAAGTTGGTAAGGCAGCCGGGATTGATGGAATAAAGATAGAAATGTTAAAAGCAGGTGGGGATATAGTTTTGGAGTGGTTGGTGCAATTATTTAATAAATGTATGGAAGAGGGTAAGGTACCTAGGGATTGGCAGAGAGCATGCATAGTTCCTTTGTATAAAGGCAAAGGGGATAAAAGAGAGTGCAAAAATTATAGGGGGATAAGTCTGTTGAGTATAACTGGTAAAGTGTATGGTAGAATTATAATTGAAAGAATTTAGAGTAAGACGGAGAATAGGATAGCAGATGAACAAGGAGGCTTTAGGAAAGGTAGGGGGTGTGTGGACCAGGTGTTTACAGTGAAACATATAATTTTTTTTTATTTTTATTATCACACTGGCCAATTCCCACCAAGGCAGGGTGGCCCGAAAAAGAAAAACTTTCACCATCATTCACTCCATCACTGTCTTGCCAGAAGGGTGCTTTGCACTACAGTTTTTAAACTTGAACATTAACACCCCTCCTTCAGAGTGCAGGCACTGTACTTCCCATCTCCAGGACTCAAGTCCGGCCTGCCGGTTTCCCTGAACCCCTTCATAAATGTTACTTTGCTCACACTCCAACAGCACGTCAAGTATTAAAAACCATTTGTCTCCATTCACTCCTATCAAACACGCTCATGCATACCTGCTGGAAGTCCAAGCCCCTCGCACACAAAACCTCCTTTACCCCCTCTCTCCAACCTTTCCTAGGCCGACCCCTACCCCGCCTTCCTTCCACTACAGACTGATACACTCTTGAAGTCATTCTGTTTCGCTCCATTCTCCAGTATTTAGATAAGGCTAAAGAGGTCTTTGTGGCATTTATGGATTTGGAAAAGGCGTATGACAGGGTGGATAGGGGGGCAATGTGGCAGATGTTGCAAGTGTATGGTGTAGGAGGTAGGTTACTGAAAGCAGTGAAGAGTTTTTACGAGGATAGTGAGGCTCAAGTTAGAGTATGTAGGAAAGAGGGAAATTTTTTCCCAGTAAAAGTAGGCCTTAGACAAGGATGTGTGATGTCACCGTGGTTGTTTAATATATTTATAGATGGGGTTGTAAGAGAAGTAAACGCGAGGGTCTTGGCAAGAGGCGTGGAGTTAAAAGATAAAGAATCACACACAAAGTGGGAGTTGTCACAGCTGCTCTTTGCTGATGACACTGTGCTCTTGGGAGATTCTGAAGAGAAGTTGCAGAGATTGGTGGATGAATTTGGTAGGGTGTGCAAAAGAAGAAAATTAAAGGTGAATACAGGAAAGAGTAAGGTTATGAGGATAACAAAAAGATTAGGTGATGAAAGATTGGATATCAGATTGGAGGGAGAGAGTATGGAGGAGGTGAACGTATTCAGATATTTGGGAGTGGACGTGTCAGCGGATGGGTCTATGAAAGATGAGGTGAATCATAGAATTGATGAGGGAAAAAGAGTGAGTGGTGCACTTAGGAGTCTGTGGAGACAAAGAACTTTGTCCTTGGAGGCAAAGAGGGGAATGTATGAGAGTATAGTTTTACCAACGCTCTTATATGGGTGTGAAGCATGGGTGATGAATGTTGCAGCGAGGAGAAGGCTGGAGGCAGTGGAGATGTCATGTCTGAGGGCAATGTGTGGTGTGAATATAATGCAGAGAATTCGTAGTTTGGAAGTTAGGAGGAGGTGCGGGATTACCAAAACTGTTGTCCAGAGGGCTGAGGAAGGGTTGTTGAGGTGGTTCGGACATGTAGAGAGAATGGAGCGAAACAGAATGACTTCAAGAGTGTATCAGTCTGTAGTGGAAGGAAGGCGGGGTAGGGGTCGGCCTAGGAAAGGTTGGAGGGAGGGGGTAAAGGAGGTTTTGTGTGCGAGGGGCTTGGACTTCCAGCAGGCATGCGTGAGCGTGTTTGATAGGAGTGAATGGAGACATATGGTTTTTAATACTTGACGTGCTGTTGGAGTGTGAGCAAAGTAACATTTATGAAGGGATTCAGGGAAACCGGCAGGCCGGACTTGAGTCCTGGAGATGGGAAGTACAGTGCCTGCACTCTGAAGGAAGGGGTGTTAATGTTGCAGTTTAAAAACTAGTGTAAAGCACCCTTCTGGCAAGACAGTGATGGAGTGAATGATGGTGAAAGTTTTTCTTTTTCGGGCCACCCTGCCTTGGTGGGAATCGGCCAGTGTGATAATAAAAAAAAAATGAAGTTTTAATTTCTTCATGTTTCCATATCAGGGTAATTGAAATTTCTCATCATTGAACTTCATATTGTTTTCTGCAGCCCATTGAAAGATTTGGTTGATGTCCACCTGGAGCCTTGCAGTGTCTGCAATGGAAGACACTGTCATGCGGATTCGGGTGTCATCTGCAAAGGAAGACATGGTGTTGTGGCTGACATCCTTGTCTATGTCAGATATGAGGATGAGATACAAGATGGGAGTGAGTACTGTGCCTTGTGGAACAGAGCATTTCCATAGTCACCTCAGACTTTACTCTGTTGACTACTACTCTTTGTGTTCTGTTTGTGAGGAAATTATAGATCCATCTACCAACTTTTCCTGTTATTCCTTTAGCATGCATTTTGTGTCCTATTACGCTATGGTCACACTTGTCGAAGGCTTTTGCAAAGTCTGTATATATTATATCTGCATTCTTTTTGTCTTCTAGTGCATCTAGGAGCTTGTTGTAGTGATCCAGTAGTTGGGACAGACAGGAGCGACCTGCTCCAAACCCATGTTGCCCTGGGTTGTGTAATTGATGGGTATCTAGATGGCGATCTTGCTTCTTAGGACCCTTTCAAAGATTTTTATGATATGGGATGTTAGTGCTATCAATCTGTAGTTCTTTGCTATTGCTTTACTGCCCCCCTTTGTGGAGTGGGGCTATGTCTGATGTTTTTAGTAACTGTGGGACGACCCCAGTGTCCATGCTCCCTCTCCGATGGTAAAAGCTCGTGATAGGGGCTTCTTGCACTTCTTGATGAACATGGAGTTCCATGAGTCTGGCCCTGCGGCAGAGTGCATAGGCGTGTCATTTATCACCTGTTTGAAGTCATTTGGCATCAGGATAACATCAGATAGGCTTGTGTTTACCAAATTCTGTGGCTCTCTCATAAAAAATTTATTTTGATCTTTGACTCTCAGTCTGGTTAGAGGCTTGCTAAAAACTGAGTCATATTGGGAGTTAAGTAGTTCATTCATTTCCTTGCTGTCATCTGTGTAGGACCCATCTTGTTTAAGTAGGGGCCCAATACTGGATGTTGTTCTCGATTTTGATTTGGCATAAGAAAAGAAATACTTTGGGTTTCTTTCGATTTCATTTATGGCTTATAGTTCTTCCCGCGATTCCTGACTCCTATAAGATTCCTTTAGTGACTCCCTACGTATTTCAGATATATTGGCCTCTTTTAGCTGCTCTGTTATTCTTTTCCATTGCCTATAAAGGGAGCACCTGTCTCTTTCTATTTTCCATCTACCCTCCTTTTTCTTAAAGGAATAAGCCTTGAGCATACAGTGAGCGCCACCTAGTTAATCTGCTCTAGGCATAAGTTGGGGTCTGTGTTGCTTAGTCTATCTTCCCAGCTTATATCATTTAGGACTTGGTTTACTTGGTCCCACTTTATGTTCTTGTTATTGAAGTAGAATTTGGTGAAGGCTCCATATCAATGTTTTGAGTGTCTGAAATGTTTTAATCAAAAAAGCAATCTTGTGAAACATACACAAGTTCATTCAAGAGATAAAACATGTTACTGTTCAATGTTTCCGAAATATTTTAGTTATAAACTCATCAGAATATATGAAAGGGATATACCATAACAGTGTTGAGAGCGAAATATGTTAATGAAATGTAAGTCATATAAATCATGAGTTCATGTAGGAGATAAGTTGAATTAATGTTCAGAATGTCTTGTATATTTTATAAAAAGATAAGTCTCATGTACTCATGAGAGCTAATATACAGTATAATCAATAAATACATATGGAAAATACCGTAAGGTCAAGTCTGTAATCTGTGTACTTCAGTAACCAAGAATTCTGTACTGAAATGTTCAGTGAACAACAGTAGTGAAATATTCAGTGAACAACAGTAGTGAAATATTCAGTGAACAACAGTAGTGAAATATTCAGTGAACAACAGTAGTGAAATATTCAGTGAACAACAGTAGTGAAATATTCAGTGAAAAACAGTAGTGAAATATTCAGTGAACAACAGTAGTGAAATATTCAGTGAACAACAGTAGTGAAATATTCAGTGAACAACAGTAGTGAAATATTCAGTGAACAACAGTAGTGAAATATTCAGTGAACAACAGTAAAATATTCAGTGAACAACAGTAGTAAAATATTCAGTGAACAACAGTAGTGAAATATTCAATGAACAACAGTAGTGAAATAAGTGCAGTAAGAGAACACTGGTGTCAATACTATAAATCTAAGAATATTCATTCTTTTAACAGTATTTATTATAAATATTCCAACAACAATGGTAGAACTTAACAAACTTTAATTATATCTATATAGTCTTTTTGTTTCTGTTTCTCTTGTTCAAATGTGAGGAATTGAGTTCCTTGAAGCTGTGTGTGTCTTACTTGTTAAGGTTATCAATACCAGAGGTGCTATGGTTGACAACCTCTTCAAGGGGGCTCCTTGGCGTGGTGAAGAGGCTCTTGGTCTGAGGAATTAGCCCTGTCGGTCTTCTTCCTCAGACCGAACCTAATTACCCCCCATTCTCCCCTCCCCTATCCCATCCTCCCCTTCCACCCCTTTTTCCATTCCTCCTCCTCCTCCCCACCCCTCCCTTTTGCCCTTCCTCTTTTTGGCCTTTGGGATTTCTCCCACAGGC